CTGTATATATGTATATATGTATACTGTATATATGTATATATATATACTGTATATATGTATACTGTATATATGTATACTGTATATATGTATATATATGTATATATGTATGTATATATATATACTGTATATATGTATATTGAGTCACTTTCTCAGAGTAAAAAGTGACTCAAACATCAAGTTTAGGACTCGAGATGATTCTTCAGTTTTTCTCTGATGACCTGAATATTAAATCCGTCTCGTTGTTCAAGTTTTTCTTTTTGTTGTTGTTCTGCAGGAACTCGCTAAGAACGTCTTCAAGCGTCGTCGAGTTCTGAGCCGAGAGAAGAGGAAGAGACATCTGATCGTGGGAGCCGTGGTGGACGAAGGTCTGATCACCGTCCACCACCTGAAGAAGAGGAAGTACGTGATGAATAGAACCAGAAGTCTCTTCTTCTTCTGATGTTAGACGGAGAATAAACGTGTTTGTGTTTCAGGTCGAGTCAGCGAGCGAACATCACTTTGTCTGGAAAGAAGAAGAGAAAACTTCTGAAACAGCTTCAGCACATGCAGACAGAGAAGGCCGGTATGGAAGGTCAGTGACGCCTAAAACATTGACTGACCCGCTGAACATAGATATATCTATATAGATATATCTAGAGTATATATAATATAGATATACTCTATAGAAACAGAACCATCATGAGTAGAAGTAGATAATAGAACATGACTTTACTGCAGAATAACAGTTATTATGACATTCATCATTAAAAAGAAATAAAACGAGTTGAATTCTTTGATTATTTATTTTTCAAAAATTGTAAAACAATATAATCAATACATCCAACATGTTATGTGTCTACAAGTGTTATTAATGTAGGAAATAAAATGGAGGCTCCACATGTTATAAATATTAAACTATTTAAATATTAACATCCTCTCCTCTCTCTCTCCTCTCCTCTCTCTCCTCTCTCCTCTCTCTCTCCTCTCTCGCTCCTCTCTCTCCTCTCCTCTCTCTCTCCTCTCTCTCCTCTCCCCTCTCCTCTCCTCTCTCCCCTCTCTTCTCCTCTCTCCTCGCCTCCCCTCTCTTCTCCTCTCCCCTCTCCTCTCCCCTCTCTCCTCTCCTCTCTCCCCTCCTCTCCTCTCTCTCCTCCTCTCTCCTCGCCTCCCCTCTCTTCTCCTCTCCCCTCTCTCCTCTCCTCTCTCTCCCCTCTCTCCCCTCTCCTCTCTCCTCTCCTCTCTCTCCTCTCTCCCCTCTCCTCTCCTCTCCTCTCTCTCCTCTCTCTCCTCTCTCCCCTCTCCTCTCTTCTCTCCTCTCCTCTCCCCTCCCCTC